CATGTAGCATGGTTTTAATAAAATCAGCTGGATACATAGGTATGAAAATGTGTAAGCAGAATATAAATGTACCATACAGAAATCTCTGACAGACTTTACGGAAATATCCATAATATAGTTTGTACTGTATTGTATATTTTTGTATTCCATTTCATATATTTCCATCCATACTGTTGGTCCTTGGTACATTCTTAGGTCTTTTCCCTCTTTCTTGTGTTCTGTCTAGTCATTTAGTGGTAAAAAAAACGTTTACACTATACAAAAACTTGCAATATTCCATGACAAAACTCCTAAAGCAAAATAAAGCTATCGTAACAATATCAACTGCTTTCCTTCCCTTCATTCTTTTCTCCACTCTACACGCAAAAATCTGAACCTCTTACTCCTTTTGTGCTCATTCAGACAAGCTGCTTGATTGAAGCAGAACTTTTTTGCTTAAGAAAGGACTGAATACAAATGCAATGATAATGAGGCACTTCATAAATTTGGCCCACAGCCGCTGAAGTTCATCCGTCATCTTCTCCCACTAATATTATTTGTATAACTGCAACACAGGCAAAAAATAAAATGTTATTATGCTTTTAAACCAGCCTGGTGGTTCCTGCTCACTCTGTCTTCTACGTGATTTTCTGTTTTCTCCTTGCTATATTTTGACTAGTTGTATTGCTTTACATCCACATACATTTAAAAATGCTTTCCATCTCCAGAGCCCTCTTTTAATTGCATTGCTCAGAGATAACTAAAGCAAAACACAACATCTTTATGTTACTGCATGGTTGATTCCTTTATTTCCCATCTCAATTTTACTTCCTCTCCAAAGCTTCAGATTACAGCAATGTATCCTACAGTTGAAGAGGCAGCAGTGTGGCCCTCCAAAGCCTTTTAATGCAATTGTGAGCATTGTCTGGAAGTGCCACTTCAGGCTCCTCACTTCTCATTAAATGTGAGCTCACTGCTTCTTGCACTTTCAGTCCCTGCCTTTCCCAGTCTGGCTGAGCTCAAGACATAAGCCTGGATCACTACACTGGGCCTTCAGGCTATGATTTGAGTAGATTGTTTAGTCTTTCTTTCCCTTTGCCTTTAAATGCTTTAGAGAGAGTCCCTACCTATCTTTGTCAACATCTTCAAAATTCAGGTTCCCATTTGTCTGTCCAGCAGTGTAATCAGTTCTGTTACCCATGCTAAATTGTTTGTTTTCAACTAGGATCAGGTTTGATGGTGGTCTTGCAGAAGAAATATTACTAAGCCATAGCGCTGCTTGAAAACGCAAGTCTTATACTATACCTTTAAAGGTGGAAGACTTGACTTCCTTTTAATGTCTTGGTGACACAAGGTCAAAGGCACTCTGCAAAAGAAGCTCTGCTCAAATCCTGTGAGTTTATTCTTTGGAACTGTGACTGCAGTATCACTCTATTGGGGGCTGCCAAGGATAATTATATAGGGAGTGGTCAGTCTCTGCAATGACTTAATCCTTGCTTGTCAGGTGCTTTAAAGATAAGAACTCTGTCTGATATCAATTCACTGTTAGGCTCCCACCTGACACACCCACACATGCACAATGATTATTAGTTTTAATATGTTGTGTATTTATGTGATCCCTACCTAATTTTTGCATAGTCTTTCCTTAGGTATGTATGTGGACTGTTTTAAAGAGTCAACACTTCTCATTGGCTAACACCGATTGATGTACCGGAGAAGTCTGACTGCTGGTTTTTAAGTGACTTAATCTGATACTACTTTTTACCTAAAATTAAATTTAACAAGTTTTCCCATTCGTCTCTGTGTACACGTGAGCATCATGAAAGAATGTGTCTAAAACACATTATCCTCGATCTTGGCTGTATCCTAATAAATTGATGAAAGGGGAAAGCTTTTTGGTTGTACATTCATGCAGTTATATGTATGCACATATGGCATATATTTAGCTAGAAAGACAGCCAGTCTAATTTTACCTGTATCAGCCAGGCACGTAGTTAACAAAAGCATTGTTAATAAGTAATAAAAGTGAATGCAAATTAAACAAAATGACCAGAGAAATGCAGCAGAATTATCAGTAGGTAACAATAAGTGACACACAGATGTATGGTTATGTCCTCCTGTGGTTAACCAGTATGTGGTTAATGAATAGTCTTCTGTAAACAGTGAAAGGTAAATGTAGTGTCTTCCTGCTTTTGCTAAACTGTGTTATAACCATACACAGGGTCTAAAACCTAGCCAGTCCTAAAGTATTTCTTTAAAGCTGTCCCAAGTACTATACCTGCCACTGATTCCCTGTGCTGGTTTTTGTGGATTCACAATCACATTTAAATAGGTCCAAAACATGTTTCTGTGTCTTTGTGCTGTATGAAAGATCCACATGCGAAAATCAGGGGAAACCAATTGACTTTGTAAATTAGGAGCAAGTGAAAGCACCTTACCACGTGCTACATACAGTATCTAAAGCAAAGACATTGGAAACAAAATAGAAATAGCTATGAAGACATCAAAATAGATTAGCAAGAGAAAAAAATATTTTTCTCTGCTCTTTTCCAATTATGAAAATTTTGTGTGTGACTTGTAATAATGGTTCATAAAATATTTTCAGAAAGAAGATTGCCCCTTTTAATATTAGTCGAATCTTTTGATTTGGTTGTTAATTTTCTTCAAGAAAGTCTTGAATATTGGCAGGTATGATATGTCATGTAATTTGGTACAGGTTTCCCTCACTTTATGCTGTACATGTGTTCCTGGAACATGGCCCATAACTCAAATTCTCATAAAGGAAATCCACTTTACAATGTAACAAGTTGGGATATGTTCCAAGACCTCGACAGTACTGACCCCCAGACCCATTTCTACCACTTTTACAAGACAATTTTGGTACTCACCAACAGCAGACAGTACACACAAGCACAAGGCACTATCATAATGGGGATGGCAACTACAGAAACATGTGTCGCAGACAAGGAGTGAGGAGCACAGATCCACACAGGAGACTATATTTTGGTGCGCTTCGCTCCCATAGTACACTGCCCAAAGCAGCTGACTGCAGGCTTCCACCACACCGATGGCATTAGAGTGAATTTACCTCGCGTATAATGGATTTTTGGTGTAAAAAGGATCATTGCTTAAGAGTAAATTTGTACATACAAAACTCACATAAAGCAAGGGAAACCTGTATTTAGTAAATATTGAGAACGCATTAGCTTTGATCCTTGTGCCTGGCTGAGCTTCATTTGGCACAGGATCCAAGAGAGTGTCAAAGGTCCCGAAACAGGGATCAGAAGTGATCTTATGCTACCTTTCCAGCTCCTCAGCCCTGAAACTACTTTTCAACTGAGGCTAGAGAAGGGTGTTTGAAAAGCACCGGACAGAGATTCAGGAGACCTGATTTTAGATTCTTGCTCATTAGTGAAAGGCTTCCAATGAGACACTGGCCATGACATTTATTCCTCCTATTCCTCATTCCTCCTCTGTAAAATGGGGACAATACATTTGTATTTCACAGGGATATAATGAATATATTCGTGATTGTGAAGTCCTCAGATATTATGGTAATGAGATTCTGCACCATAGTATCTAGATGGGGAGTGGATTAAGATTGTTTTTAAAATGTAAGTAAAAATGTCTTTGAAAGTTTATTGTTGTTGCAAGTGGACATTTACCTACCTCTAGATTAAAAAACAAAACAAAAGTAAAAGTCTTTGATCAGAAGCTCATGACCTTGGGTGACAGGAATGTTGAAGACCACTTTGGGTATTGCTGTACTGGAAGGCTTGCACAGCACATGCCTGTATAAGAAGAATCTGTTATCTGCAATTCCCTACTGTCCAAATCAGGGTCATGTTTCTGGATGTCTACTATTTACACTGAAAATCCCTGTGATTATCAATATCCCTCAGGACATCAGATAACTCTGCTAAGACTGGCTACAGCTAGTACTTTCCACATCCTATTTCTAAAAACGCCAGAGTCATAATTAAAATTTATACAGTGTTTTAAGCTATCAAAACACCAGGAAACCAAGAATTAATGAATCTGAAATATACTAGGCAAGTAGTAATATACTAATTTTACAAAGTAGGCTAAAAGGAATCAAAAACAAAAGCAGAAAGAATTGAATATGTTATAATCTTGAGGGTTTTGCATGTAATATAATCTAATCTCCATTTGAGCCATTAAATGTAATGCTTTTCAAAACTCAGAATTGTGATATGCACCAACTATATATGAAAAAGCCCTTATCACCTTGTCTCTGAATTAAAAGAAAAGTCACTGTGATAGTCACTAATACTTTCAGTGGAAACCTACAAAAGCAAAAAGTAAGAAATCCAAATGTCTTCATTTATGAAATGTTTTTAACCTGGCTTAAGACAAAGCGGGACAAGTGGGGGAAATCCAAAAAACCAAATCTCTGTCATGTCTTCATATGACACTTTAATTCCTCTTTAATTCCTGTTGTTCCTTTCATTCCTTGGAATTGTGGTAGCACATTTTCTTCTTTTTTAAAAGGTTGTGGTTTATAATATGGAATTGATCAAATACTAGCAAGAGCTGAATAGCATGGGATTTTCAAAGGTTCCTAGGGAATTTGACCACCCAAGTCCCTTTAATTTTAATGAGCATTGTTGATCAGATCCCTGAGGCAACTTGGGGAATCTCAGCCAGAATCTATGGGGCTTTCTAAACTAACACCCTTAGTAAGTATAAATGATTCATAAGCAATAATGTAGATGATATAAAAAACCATTGTTCAGCTCTACCTAACGTGTATTTTACAATCAAAGAGTATATAATATAAGTATATATACATTTCATTGAAATGCTTGGGGTAGTAGCCACTTAAGGAGTTTGTTGAATTTGATGGAAGTTCTGCACTGTGTATGAGCTTGTGTAGAGATATAGATAAAATAGGATGTATTTTAATGCTGTTGAAAGTGACAGGTATACATTCTATCATTGCATACTGTATTGTATAATTATCTGTGTGATCACTACAATGATGTCTTTTCCTGTTACAGGAAAGAGCTTCACCCTAACCATCACAGTCTTTACAAATCCTCCCCAAGTAGCCACATACCACAGAGCCATCAAAATAACAGTGGATGGACCTCGTGAACCCAGAAGTAAGTGATCTGACTATAATATCAGTGCAGGTGTGAAATAATGTATGAGTGTAAGGGTTCCTCAAATGTCTAAGCAAATTCAACAAAACCTAAGATTACTGGGAGCTATGGGTGTGGTTTAAGCCAAGTGTATACCATAAAGGAGTTTGACTGTGCCTTGCTAAGAGCTTTATTTGACTAGAGTGTATACTGCTGATTCAGAGAGTATTTCAAGTGCATTACACCTGATGAGCACAAACTTAGGTATGATTTGAAGACTTCACAAGAGTTGACTAAAGAATATCAAGTAAACAGAAAATAGCACATACATTTTATGCAGCATTTCTTGCTCACTTTGACTTGCAGATATTAATAGGACTTTTGCTTTTAAAAATCATTCAGATGTTACTGGTTTAACTTTCCAACATTGGCAGCTGAAAGTTATAAATAAATAAACGTCTGAAAGATGACAACTGGCTGCCATCGCATACAGTTTATTGTGCCTCATTCTGGTTTATTACTTAGGAAAACAGCCATTGTTGAAAAACAGCACTTCCAACAGACAGATGGAATTCACTCCACTGGGGCACACACTTTCACAGACAGGCATTCTTGCCAATTTTGTCTTAAGAATTAAGCATGAGGAGAAGATGAATGATTTGGTATCTCTAGGGAAAAATCTGCAAATTTCACACCACTACAGTTTTTGAAAAAAAACCCATATGTACAGTCATTGGATGCTTGTGCAATATGCATTCTGTTCATTACCAGAGGCAATAATTAACCTCACTCACTAGCTTGAATGTAGAATTTTGATATTTTTATTGAAATACCCTGATGTCAGTTGAGGTTTGTGGTTTGTTGCTGTTATTCCCTTTGCATATTTGGCAGTGGTTCTAGCTGTTACTTAAGAGAAGTCATCCCATGAGAGGCGTAGAGAGAGAAACAAACACCCAAGAGAGGGTGATCTTTACAGGTCAAGGTTATTGAACGAGAAGGAGTGAGGCTTAGAGTTCTAAAACTCACTGTCTTCCTACATATTCTTCTTAATAGTTTACCCCTAATTATGGGCCAGGTTCACAACTGATGTAAATTGTCACATGGCATGACACTGATGTCTGTCAACTAAAAATCTGGGCCCATATTTTTAGGATTAAAGGCTATAGAATAATGAGCTTGAGGGGTTAAATTGTGCCTGAAAAATGCCTCTTATAAACTAGGAAGCTGAGCATGCAAAACTGTTACTTATATAGGGAAGTACCAGATTTGAATATGTGATTACCTAGTTGTGTTTATATTCTTCAGCAACAAATAGACTAGATTTTTTGAATATGTATCTCATAAAGTTATAAGAATAAGTAGCATCCTTATAGGCTCAGCAGTGCTACACTGGCTAGCACTACGGAAGAAAGAGACTTGGGGGTCATCATTGACCACAAGATGAACATGAGCAT